TCCAGCAAGAGCTGTTGAGTGATTTTCTACTCTTGGTGTGATTTTTGTGCACAGGAGATCACTGTTTGAGCAACAACATGGGGAATTCTGCAGACCGAGGGCACTTCCAGACAGCTCCAAAATGTAGGTTTTAAAACTAGGGCAAAAAATCCCAGGACCTGACAGCAGGTCCACACACAGACCTGCCAGTCTCAGGAAATACTCCCCTATTGTCCTCACATCTTCCTTTGAAGCAGATCAAGATGCAGGATGGATAAGGGACATCTGGCAGAAGTTTTTTTTAAAAAAAAATTATCTCCGAGATGTGTTGGACTTCATATGTGCACATATAAATATCTTAACATACACTCAAGGAGATTTTTTATTCTCTTTCTCACCCAAGTCTAAATTCAAGTTCTAAAGATCAAAAGAAAGGAATGGCTTCAGAGAGTTTAAATTGCTTTCCAATTATGCTTCTCTTGAGGCTCCATTTTTGACAGTCTGGTCAAGTGATCAACTGTTTCAGGCTTTTAAGACATGCACATGTGTGGAGCAGTCCACACAGGCAGAAGGGAAGGGAAGCACGTGTTCTGCGTGATAATCTGGATTATATGGCAGTGTAGAAGGGGACTCATAGAATCCAGTTCAAAGCAGATAATCTGAGAACAGATTTTGGGATATAGGTCGATGTAGATCCAGCCTTAAATTACTCTATACTAATGCATACCCTAATTTTGGCGATGTGTTTTAGCCAAAAAAATGTGCATTGGATTTGAGAAAATACAGTATTATTGTATTCGTAATGCAAGATACAGAAAGAGACACTAGTGATATTTTTTATTTTCTGTGCTGAAACAATTTGCCTGGGTTTCTGTATTATGACCTTGACTTTGGGGATACACACACATATGCGCCTAGCTTTCTTGCTTTGCCTCAGGCTATAGCCAACTGTGTCATTTCTCTCCTCCTTTCATGTGGCTGCAAATTATGGAGGGAGAACAAAATGACATTGAGAGGGTGGGGGAAAACAACATGATGTAGTGCAGGGGTCCTCAAACTAAGGCTCGGGGGCCGGAAACGGCCCTCCAGAGTCATTTACCTGACCCTCACTCAGGGTCAACCTAAGTCTGAAATGACTTGAAAGCACACAACAACAACAATCCTATCTCATCAGCCAAAAGCAGGCCCACACTTCCCAAAAGCAGGCCCACACTGGGAAGCCCTGGGCCTTAAGCGTGCTAACTGGAGATCAGCCGCAAACAGCAGTGCTGTAGAATTCTAAGAGGCGTGAATGGAGGGCAAAAAGGGAGAAATGCGTAAAGAGGAAGGTGCGCCAAGCCAGCCCTGACTGGGATCACCTTCCAGCTGGAAATTGTCCTCACTGCGAAAGAACATGCGGATCAAAAATTTGTCTCTAAACTCACTTACAGACCTAACTCCAAGACCCTACAGTTGGAACGCAATCATACTCGGCCACGAGGGATCACCTGTGATGATGATGATGATGATGATGATGATGATGTGGCCTCAGAGCGTGGTGGAGTCTGTCCTCATGAGGTGTTTTCAGCAGAGGCTGGATGGCAATCTGTCATGAGTGCTTGTGTGTTACTGCATGGGAGAATGGGGCAGGTCTAGATGGTCCTTGGGGTCTCTTCCAATGCTAGGACTCTATGATACCAAGATTTCAAACAATCATAAAAATATCAAAGTAATACTTTAAATTGAAAAAAAAAACACCTGTTTATATAACAAAAGTAAAACATTAAGTTTGTCTCTTTTTAATTATTGTATTTCAATATTGATATCAAGTCAAAACATGGTTGAGGGTATGGTACTGTATTAGGCCTATTTCTAATAGTCACTCTCAGGCCCCTTCTACACTGCCATGTAAAATCTGGATTATCTGCCTTGAAATGGATTATATGACAGTGCAAACTCATGTAAACCAGTTCAAAGCAAATAATGTGGATTATCTACTTTGATAATCTGGAGTATATGGCAGTGTAGGAGGGACCTCAGAAACTGGTATGTTTCAATTCTTATGGGTTCTGGACAACCGAGGTCCCTTCTACACTGATATATAATCCAGATTATCAAAACAGATAATTCACATTATTGATTTGAACTGGATTATATGAGTCTACACTGCCACAGAATCTAGTTCAAATTATATAATCTGGATTTTATATGGCAGTGTAGATGGGGACTAAGGCCCCTTCCACACAGCTGAATAAAGCCACCTTTTCGGCTTTGAGCTGGGATATATTTATTTATTATTATTTATTTACAGTATTTTTACCCCGCCCTTCTCAACCCCCGGGGGAGGACTCAGAGCGGCTAACAAAGGCAGCAATTCGATGCCACAAATCAATAACACAGTTTTTGTTGTTCATTTGTTCAGTCATTTCCGACTCTTTGTGACCTCATGGAACAGTCCACGCCAGAGCTCCCTGTCGGTCGTCACCACCCCCAGCTCCTTCAGAGTCAATCCAGTCACTTCAAGGATCCCATCCATTCATCTTGCCCTCGGTTGGCCCTTCTTCCTTTTTCCTTCCATTTTCCCCAGCATCATACTCTTCTCTAAGCTTTCCTTTCTTCTCATGATGTGGCCACAGTACTTCCCCTTGGCTTCTACTATTCTTCACTCCAATGAGCAGTCAGGCTTTATTTCTTGAAGTATGGACTGGTTGGATCTTCTCGCTGTCCAAGGCACTCTCAGAACTTTCCTCCAAGCACCACAGTTCAAAAGCATCTATCTTCCTTCGCTCAGCCTTCCCTATGGTCCAGCTCTCACATCCGTAGGTGACTATGGGGAATACCATTGCTTTAACTATGCGGATCTTTGTTGCCAGTGTGATGTGTCTACTCTTCACTATTTTATCAAGATTGGTCATTGCTCTCCTCCCAATAAATAAGCATCTCCTGATTTCCTGGCTGCAGTCTGTGCAGTAATCTTTTCACCTAGAAATACAAAGTCTGTCACTGCCTCCACGTTATCTCCCTCTATTTGCAAGTTATCAATCATTCTTGTTGCCATAATCTTGGTTTTTTTGATGTTTAACTGCAACCCAGCTTTTGCGCTTTCTTCTTTCACCTTGATTAGAAGGCTCCTCGGCTCCTCCTCGCTTTCAGACATCAAAGTGGTGTCATCTGTATATCAATAACACAGTATAAAACCATAAATACATACAGTTAAAACAATAGCAATTAATTATAACCAAATTATCATAACAGTCATTAAAACAATACTCAGTCCAAAAACCCATTGATAGAACAATAAAATTGTATCCTCATATATATTGTCTTGCCAATCCATTTCCAGTCAAAGTGCTGCTTTGTTTATTGTCCGAAAGCCTGGTCTCAGATAACTCAGGTCCCTTACAGTCATATAGCCCAGAATATCAAGGCAGAAGGGAAGGCTGAGTGAAGGAAGATAGATGCTTTTAAACTGTGGTGTTGGAGGAAAGTTCTGAGAGTGCCTTGGACTGCGAGAAGATCCAACCAGTCCATCCTCCAGGAAATAAAGCCCGGCTGCTCACTGGGAAGGAGACTAGAGACAAAGTTGAAGTACTTTGGCCACATCATGAGGAGACAGCAAAGCCTAGAGAAGACAATGATGGGGGGAAAGTGGAAGGCAAAAGGAAGAGGGGCCGACCAAGGGCAAGATGGATGGATGGCATCCTTGAAGTGACTGGACTGACCTTGAAGGAGCTGGGGGTGGTGACGGCCGACAGGGAGCTCTGGCGTGGGCTGGTCCCTGAGGTCACGAAGAGTTGGAGACGACTGAACGAATGAACAACAATAACAAGGCAGAAAATATCACAATATCTATTTGAAGTGGGTTATATATGAGTTCACACTGCCCTATAACCCAGTTCAAAGCAGAAAGTGTGGGATTTTATTCAGCTGTGTGGAAGAGGTCCTAGTTCAAAACAGATATTGTGGGATTTTCTGCCATGATATTCTAGGGCAGTGTTTCTCAACCGGGGCTCGGGACCCCTGAGGGGGTCGCAAGGGGGTGTCAGAGGGGTCGCCAAAGACCATAAGAAAACACAGTATTTTCTGATGGTCATGGGGATTCCATGTGGGAAGTTTGAACCAATTCTATGGTTAGTGGAGTTCAGAATGTTCTTTGATTGTAATGAACTATAAATCCCTGCAACTACAACTCCCAAATGTAAAGATCTATTTTCCCCGGACTCCACCAGTGTTCACATTTGGGCATATTGAGTATTCATGCCAAGTTTGGTCCAGATCCACCATTGCATGAGTCCACAGTGTTCTCTGGATATAGGTGAACTACAACTCCCAAACTCAAGGTCAATGCCCATCAAACCCTTCCAGTGTTTTCCATTGGTCATGGGAGCCAAGTTTGGTTCAAATCCATCGCTGGTGGAGTTCGGAATGCTCTTTGATTATAAGTGAACTATAAATCCTAGCAACTACAACTCCCAAATTACAAAATCAATCCTCGCCCAAGCCCACTAGCATTCACATTTGGGTGTATTGGGTATTTGTGCCCAGTTTGGTCCAGTGAATGAAAATGCATCCTGCATATCAGATATTTACATTATGATTTATAACAGTAGTAAAATGACTGTTATGAAGTAGCAATGAAAACAATATTATGGTTGGGGGTCACCACAACATGGGGGACTGTATTAAGGGGTCACGCCATTAGGAAGGTTGAGAACCACTGTTCTAGGGGCTCCTTCCACAGGGCCATATAACCCAGAATATCCAGGCAGAACTCACAATATCTGTTTTGAACTGGGTTTATCTGTGTTCACACTGCCATATATCCCAGTTCAAGGGAGAAAATGTGGGGTTTTATTTAGCTGTGCAGAAGGGGCCTGGTTTATATGGCTGTGTGGATGGACCCTGAGAGTCTTCTGTGATACTTCAATGGGGAGGAAGGAAAGAAAAGGGAGATGCGATAGAGGCGCATGCGCCCTAAGGGGGAAGCGAGGGACAGGAAGCCTCCCGCCGGCGCGCGCCATGCCATTCGAAAAGCACTTGGGCCGGACGTGACGTCAGCACGGCGCGCGTGTTGCTGTGGTGAGCGGCTCTCGTGCGGCATGGAGGAGACGGAGGAGGAGGACAAGAAGAAGGAGCAGGCCTCGGAGGCTGGTGGTACCTTCAAGGTGGCGGAGCAGCTGAGCGAGCTGAGCGTGGCCGCTGAGGGAGCCGCTGGGGAAGGGGAAAAGGCCGCTCCTCAGCCGGAATGCGGCCCCATAGAGGTTCCCTCCGCCCCGCAGGGCCTTCCTGAGAGTGGCCGCGCTTCCCTTGATGGAGGGGGTCTGGAGGCCCTGGAGGGCGCCGCAATGGAAGAGGGGGGCCCTCCGCTCGGAATGGGCCCCTCTTCCCCTCACTGCGAGGAGACGGAGAGAAAGGTTGGCCTCAGAGATGGAGCGGAGCCGGTTCCTGGCCCCGAAGGAGAGGCCCCAGACCCTAGGAGCCCCTCTCAGCCTCCTCTGGATGTGAATGGCGGGTCGGATCGCGAAGGAAAGGAGGCCACAGTCATGGAAATCAGTGGCAGCTCTTCTTCCGAATCCGAAAGGTGGGTGGTTTCCCCATGAAAGGACTCTTTCCCTTTCCCGGCTGCCAAATAAGCATTGGTTTCATATGGATCTCAAAACAGATTTATCACTCATAGAATCATAGAGACCACAAGGGCCATCCAGTCCAACTCCATTCTGCCAAGTAGGAATACACGATCCAAGCACTCCCAGCAGATGGCCATCCATCCTCTGTTTCAAAACCCTCAATAATAAACTTTTATTTCTAGACCACACCTCTCCCAAAAGGGACTGAGGGCGGTTTTCAGCACAAAAATAGGCAAACATTAAATACCTTACTAAGTAACAAACAACATCAGGGATAATACAGAATAGTAGCAATAGCCCTGGGTGGTGCAGTGGGTTAAACTGCTGAACTTACTGATTGAAAGATCGCAGGTTTGAATCCGGGGAGCAGCATGAGCTTCCGCTGTTAGCCCCAGCAGTATGGAAACATGAAAATGTGAATAGATCAATAGGTACCACTCTGGCAGAAAGGTAATGGTGCTCCATGCAGTCATGCTGTCTCTCCTACCATCATCGGAGGTCGCCATGACCATCCCAACGCGATTTGCTCTATATACCGGGTCCTAGGGAAGTGCACTTGGAAAGCACCAGACGCAGGGCCTTCTCTATTTCTGCCCCTTGCCTCCCTATTTGAGAGCCATGCGTGACTTAGGGCATTTTATCCTAGCACTTAAGACCTGGCTTTTTACTCGAGCATTTGACCCATGTTAATTTTAATATTTGTATGTATGTGTTTTATCCTGTATAATTCCTTATGTAAATCGCCTGGAGCATCTCGGATGGAGGGCGATTAATAAGTAATTAAAGATAATGATGGTGATGACCTTGGAGGTGTGTGTGAACAACACTGCTCATCGGCTTAGAAATGGAGATGAGCACCAACCCCCAGAGTCAGACATGTCTGGACTTAATGTCTAGGGAAAACTTTTACCTTTAATAGCAATGAACTTACAATGAAAAAATAAAACATTGAGATGGGGGATAAACTAATTAGACAATAACTTAGGGTGTGTGAACATTAAACATATAATTAAAAACAGACATGAGTTGCATATGAAATGGTTAACACAGGTATTTATTAAAATGTAGCATAGCCATCATATAGTGCAAATTGGATTGTCAGTGTTCCAATGGTATAGTATCTTAGTCCTCCTCCTCTCCATATGCTAAAGTGCATTTTCAAAAGTTTCTTAAAGGAGAGGAGGGTGGAGATTTTTTTCCCAGAGATGGGGAGCAATCATGGAGAAGGTCCCCCCTCTCATTCCCACCAGCCGTGCTTGAGACAGGTGGGACTAAGTGCAGGACCTCTTCTGCTGACCACAGTGCACGGTATGGTCTCTATAAGGGGATGCAATTGGACAAATAGCCTGGACTCAAACCATTCAAGACTTTGTAGGTAAGGACCAGCACCTTGTATTTAGCCCAGAAGCGGACGGGCAGTCAGTGGAGCTGTCTCAGTATGGGAGCCGGTAGTCTGTTAGCAATTCTGGAAGTTGGAGTCAAAAATTCCTGGAGGGCCAAAGTTTGCCCATGCGTGCTCCAAAGAATTAACTTCCACCACACTCTAAGGCAGAGTGTTCCACTGTTGAATACCTCGTACGGTCAGGAACTTCTTCCTAATGTTCAGGTGGAATCTCCTTTCCTTCAATTTGCACCCATTTCTCAGAGTCCTGGTTTCCAGTGCAGCAGAGAATAAGCTTGCTCCCTCTTCCTTACGACATCCTTTCACATATTTATTCATGACTATCATGTCTCCTTGCAACCTTCTGCAAGCTAAACATGGCTAGCTCTTTAAGACGCTTCTTGTAGGGCATGATCTCCAGATCTTTAATCTTGCAACACATATGTCAAACCCAAGGCCCACTGGTGGAATCTGGCCCACTATGTCATTTTATGGGCCCTTCAGATGCTGAACTCCAACTCCTATATTTCTCATTAGGCATCATGACTAAAGCTGATGGGAGTTGTTCTACAGTAAGATCTGAAAGGCTCACTTCGTTCTGTTTAGTCAGGATAGTGGGGTATGGATTTAGATTCAAGGCTTGTGGATATGATGCTCGATTTAACCATGTTGTTTAACCTTTTCCCCAATCTCAGAGCCACAAGTTTTCATTATCCCCAATCTGCATGGTGGAAAATAAAAAGTGATGGGAGTTATCATTCAATATCACCTGGATAAAAACAAAAGAGCACCAAATCATTCTGTAAAGCAGTGGTTCCCAACCTGTGGATCCCCAGATGTTCTGGTCAATAACTCCCAGAAATCCTAGTCAGCTGTTATGATTTCTGGGAGTTGAAGGCCAAATCATCTGGGGACCCACAGGTTGAGAACCACTGCTGTAAAGAAAATATAATTGGCCCTCTGTATCCATGGATTATCCATCCATGGATTCAGTGGCCCTTTGAAGGCAACCATAATACTGGTGCGCCCCCCAATGCAAATCATCTTGTCTTACGATCAGGAAGTTCTTCCTATTGTTCAAATCTGTCTTATAATCAGGATGTTCTAATGTTCAGGTGGAATCTCCTTTTCAGTAATTTGGGTTACAGATTGGCTGTGTTTGGCCTTTTGTTCTGATGTCTTCCACGAGACAAATATAAGACCAAGAAACTTTCTACAGCAGCTCTGTGATGCTTTTTTTGGACAGCAAAACATTACTTGCTGGGGATACAAACACTGGCCACAGATGAATGCTCTTCAGAGTCTTAAACAAGGATAATGCTTTGAGAAGCTTTGAGAAGCTTCAAGATAAACAATTTAAGTTCTTTTATTGCTTCAAAGGCTATCTTACTCTGGGTGCTTTCAAAGTCTCTTGCTCATTATTAAACTTTTCCAAGGCTCAAGGTTTCAAGGATAAGCACTGCTTCCGAACCAAAGCTTGGAACTAAGAAGGAGGCATGTTCCTACAGTCATGCAAAATACCTCCAAAGTTAGGACTTCTTTGTTTTGGTGGCAACCATAAATCTTAGCAGATTGCCATGACCAAGTTTTTGACACTGTGTTCAATGTCATCACAGGGTTTTTATGGACACATCATTATTTTTCTTTCATAAAAAAGGACTGTGGGAGGATATATTTTGAAAAATAAAATTTCACTCTTGTGCAGTGATACCGATTCAGACAGTTCATCTTCTGACTCCTCCTCTTCTTCCTGTCTTCCAATGCTGTCTGAAGATGATGGTGAGCAAAATAAAAATGAAGATGACACTTGCAATACTACCAAAGGTGAACTGCCTAAAGTAAGTCTAAGAATCTTCTCTGAGCAGTTATGAGGCAAAATTAGTGTTTCCTTGGAAAAAAGCATGATTCAATCTGTTCTCTGTCCAACTGTCCAAATGGAAACAGTAGAGCAAAGAGATACTCAATGGGGGAAGGAGGGTTGAAGTGGAGGGTTTTTAGAGCCTTGTGTGTGTTGCTACTTTTTTGTAGATGCCTACACCAAACACTTTCAGTTATTTTTCTTCAGGTTTCAGAATTTGGCTAGAAAAGCAGTATGTGCCAACACCCTCGGTAATAGATATAGTATTTAAAAGGGAAAATTGGTGAATTGGAAACTTACTCTACAGCAAGTCCTGGATTAGAATACCTTGTCTCCTACCCATAACATTCATTTTTTTCCTCAACCACACTAAAAGAGAACCACCTTGAAATCTCTTTGTTTTCCTTTGTTTCTTATGAGTGTTTTCTTAATAGAACAATAGGTGTTTTGTAATAATAATAATAATAATAATATAATAATAAATGTTATTCATTACCTGCCTCTTCTGTTGGCTTGAGGTAGGGTGCAACAAAGTAAAAATATATTAACATAAAATGCATTGATTAAAAGCAGGGTATGAAATTACCATATAGTAGCAATAGACTGTAAATCAGAACTCATGATTGAAAGTTGACTGGGTAGGCCTGCTGGAAGAGATGCGTCTTCAATTGGGTCTTCAATTCCGACAGCTTGTTTAGCTATCAAATCTCTTCTTTATAACTTTTCTGGCATCTGTAAGGGCCCATTGACTACAATTGCCCAAGGGACTATTTTGCCTGTGGAATTGCAAGGGCTTCCAGGATACATTTGTTTCAGTGCAACCTATCTAATCCATTCCCCTGTTGATTTTGGGGGTTGGGAGTTGACTTAATGTTAGCCAGTGCCAAACTCCTTCTTGCATGCTTACATTAGACATGGTCAGGCATCCTTCTCAGCTCTAAGTTCAAGTGATAGGAGGCTTCTGTGCATGTGCAGTGTTTTGACAGTTCCATCGATCTTGTATCTTGATTTCTTTTAAGCAAAATACAGATCATGATGCTTACAGTTAATACTGGATGTGATTGGACAAGTAGGTTTTAGGTCTGAGAGTACATACATTTCACACAAATATAATGGATTATTTATAGTTGATTTAGGTGACAATTCATCATTATTATCCAGCAGGAATCACTTTGTATTGAAGATTTGAAAATAATTCTGCCTGAATCTGTTGAACTGATGCCTTTTGGGAAGGTTTCCAGCATCATTGGACATTTAGGTAAGCATGTGATACACATATTTTCATTTTTAATGAAAACATTTTCAGATGATTAAATTAAATTCATACCCTTTTTATTTCCCTTTGCTGATACCTTTTTATGTTTTTATCATAGGCATTGGATAGTTTGTTAGTTGTTTTTCAGGCTCTATTCTCTTCTCACTTGTATGCTATAGTTGAAGCATTTCCTTTTCCCTTTTTATAAGCCTATAATTTTTTCTACAGTCATGAATGGTTAGTTGTGTTGTTGAAGGCTTTCATAGCTGGAATCACTGGATTGTTCTGAGTTTTCCGGGCTGTATGGCCATGTTCCAGAAGCATTCTCTCCTTCATGTTTCGCCCACATCTATGACAGGTATCCTCAGAGTTGAGGGGTCAGAGATTGCCTGCCATAGATGTGGGTGAAACATCAGGAGAGAATGCTTCTGGAATATGGCCATACAGCCCGGTAAACTCACAGTACCCGTCCGTGCCTTTCAGGTAGACTGATTTACATTATATTTTTTCTACGAATGTTTAAATATAACTACATTTAACAATTTTGAAAACTTATTCACAATGCATTTTGAAGGTTTCCTATAAGAAGAACATTAAAGTTGTGGATACACATTCCTTACAAGGAAGACTCATTTACATATTCTAGAATTTGTTTATTTTTTAATAAATTGGACAACTTCTATGGCCCCTAGAAATCACTGAAGATAAAATTTACACATAATTATGTGCAACATACAGGAAATATGCTTCTCCTAAAAACAAGACTTTCCAGGATATGTCTAGTGAATTTGATAGTGGAGATGCTACCCGGATGAGATGCAACAACTGCAGCACATGATCTCTGCCTAACGTAGAAGGAAGCCATTAACTTAGAATAAACAAAATAAAAAAAGGCTGACTAATAAGTGCATGTGAAGTTATTCTTACGTCTTGCTCATGATGCACCCTTTACTTTTTAGATTGCTGTAAACTGAATCTGATGCAGTGCATTCCAGTGGTTAAGAAAAATAAAATGTATTGGCTTTCTGTTAATTTAATATTATGCTTGTCTTGATCTATTTACCTACCTTTCACTTTTACTGCTTTGTCCTACTTTATTTTTTCCATATAATTTTTATTGCGAGTCTTTGAAGAATGGGGATGGATACAAGAGTGACAGGGACATCTTTAATATCTTACATCTTTGTCTTCCTTTGTTTTTTAATACAAAAAGTTTTCTATAATGTGAAAAAAGAAAAAAAAAGCATTTATTTTCAAATCTTAAACAGAAGGATAGAAAAGTGGGTGCATAGTGTTCCGAAACACCAGAGATAGAAAAGTTGAGAAATGGAAAATACAAACCCCTAACTAACACTTCATACCCTGTCTGTGCTATCTTCTTCATAATCAAAAAATCTATTCTTTTTGTCGTAAAACTTATCTCTGGTAGATTAACTTTCCAGGATCTTTTGGGTATCATTGGGGATCCTGCTATTCTTGTCACAAATTTCTCTAATTTTTTTCTTTTCTTTTTATTCCTACATCTCTGTAGTACTAATTTTTCCTTAATGCTATAGAAAAATGAATATTTTCAATTTCCTTTCTTTTTAAAAATACTCAATAAAGGTATTTTATTCTTCTTCAAATTTGGATCTGGTGATGGTATAAGCTTATTACTTCATCATACTAGAGAATGAATTCACTTTAAATCTGGTTTCTGTCTCCTTCGGAATTCTGAGGTTTGTAGTTTAGTGAGGCTGTTAAAAGGTCCTTCCTAAACTACAAACCCCAGAATTCTACAGGAGGCAGCAACTGGATTTAAAGTGGATTTATTCTCTAGTGTGATCTCTGCCATGCCCAATGTTTTTGTAATCCATAAATCTTTGGGATTTCTTCATGTTTCCAATAGTAAGCATAAACAATCCTTGCTGCAGTTACCATGTATAGAAAGAATATCAGGATTTTTTTTTTTGGAAGTGTTGGCTTCTGGCTCTAGTGGTACTTTATTTTTTAAGATGTCTTCAATGTAACGGTGCCTCATCCAGTCATGCTGGCCACATGACCTTGGAGGTTTCTACGGATAACGCCAGCTCTTCGGCTTAGACATGGAGATGAGCACCAACCCACAGAGTCAGACATGACAGGACTGAATGCCAGGGGAAATCTTTATCTTTACTATGAAAGCTTATGTATGCTGCAGACTTCTTTCTCCCAGTTAGTCTCAAGAATGCTACAATATTCCTTTGTATTCTGTTAATATACTGACATAGCTTAATTTTGATAAGAGCTCTACTCAGCTAAACTTTAATTCAGTATAATTAGCAAAGAAAAGTGCTCTGACATAGACTTTAATTATGGTTTAAATTCTGCTCAATACTACTTGGTTATTTAATGGAATGTTAGTGCTAGTTATATTTTTAGAGGAGATAAGCTTGTGGTATACCATATATTGTACCCGCTATGGAAAAAATACATTAAAGTGTTCGTAAATAATAAGGAAAATATTTGAATATCGCGGTAGGCTTTCTGATACTGTGAAGTGAGAATTTCATTACCTTACAATCACTACAGAAAACTTTGTTCAGTTCTATCATTTGCTTATAGTGCCAACCCCACTCCCCTTTTGGGGTAAAAATTCTTAAATGTAGTACAACCGTATATTACCATTAAATACAATTAGGTTGAAAGAGCAGGACTATTCGAGGTGTTTGCTGTCAGTCTCCTGGCTTACTATGTAGTTTGGCTCCAATCAAACATATTGTAAGATGTCCTCCTCTTATTGTCTGACACAGGTCCTTTCCACACAGCTGAATAAAATCCCACTTTATCTGCATGGCAGTGTGGACTCAGATAACCCAGTTCAAAGCAGATATTGTAGGATTTTCTGGCTTGATATTCTGGCAGAAGGGCCCTCAGTTTATTAAATTAAGCTCATGATGGGATTAGTCTGTTGTATTAGCAGCACTTTGTGGAATTTTTATAAAGGAGTGTACGAAGGTGAATATTTAGTTTGACATTACATTGCCTCAGGATAGACTGCTTCCTTCAGGAAATGAATTTCTCTTAATTAATGTTACAAACAGTTCTTGCTTCCCCAACAGTGAATATTAGATTTTTGCTGGTTGGATAATTAGAAGTAATTTACATTTTTTATTAAGTGATCCTCATATCACCTGCCTTATATGTGCTTTTTAAAAGAAATAATTTTAATGAAGTGTTGCATGCTTCAGGGGTTTAAAGGAAAGTATATTTGTCAGAACAGTATGCAATTTGTAGGCAAGATGGTTAACAGTTTAGGTTGGTATTATTCACCATTAATTGCATTACTGCCTACTTGTATAGTGACATGTCATAATAGTGGAGATAATGTGCTTTCACTGAAGCTTTTTGGTTCTATCATCTCAGTCAGTGTCATCCTTAATGGAGAGTTTTAGTAATCTTCTATGTGTCTGTGAACATTTGCAAAAGCTAACTGCCATATGAGGAAGTAATAAAGCTTTCTAATTTGTAACCATAAACCATGATAAAGCAATAATAGCATAGTGGGTATTCTAATGATATTTTCCCAGCATCTGATCAGAGAGTGAGATGCAGTCTTTGAAAAAATATGTATAACAATTACGTTCCTTGTGATAAAGCATGAAATTTGGCATGAGTGTATTAAACAGTTTTAGTATTCATGTTTTGAAGCATTGCTTATTTGGTGTCAGAAAGCAATATCACTTATTTTTTGAAATGGCAGCTATTTCAAAAAATAGCTGTAAGAAAAAACGAGTTATTTGTTCCCTATTTATTTTATATTATATTTACTATATGTTGGATAATATTACCCAGCATCAATAGTTTACTCTAAGATATGTTATTTAGCAAGCTGTATAACAGTTATCTAATATTATACTCGCTCAACATACACACACACACACACTGTTTTGCACTTTTTGTATTGATACATGCCATATGTTTTTGGAAGACCTAAATAACCTAAAGGCACTAGAACCTGTCTAATTGCAGAAGCTAAGCAGAGTCAGCCCTGCTTAGTTGAAAGCTCAGAGACACATGTTTTATGTTGTAAGAGCTTGTCAACAATACAAATTAGTGGGTTGCTGTGAGTTTTCCGGGCTGTAAGGCCATGTTCCAGAAGCATTCTCTCTTGATGTTTCACTCACATCTATGGCAGGCATCTTCAGAGGTTATGAGGTCTGTTGGAAATTAGGCGAGTGAAGTTTATATATCTGTTGAATGTCCAGGGTGGGAGAAAGAACCCTTGTCTGTTTGAGGGATGTGTGAATGTTGCAGTTGGCCACTTTGATTAGCATTTAATGATATAGCAGCTTCTAGCGTGACTGCTTCCTGCCTGGGGAATCCTTTGTTGGGATGTGTTAGCTGGCCCTGATTGCTTCATGTCAGGAATTCCCCTGTTTTTTTTAGTGTTCCTCTTTATTTATTGTCCTGATTTTAGAGGTGTTTTTAAACAAAGTTTTATTGGTTGTCGAACAGTTGTCAATTCTTGTATCAAGGAATATGCAAAAGTATAAAGATTTTGTTATTGTTTGCCTTCAGACTGTTTTGGGCTTATGGCAATTGTAAAACGACCCTTTCATTGCATGTATTGTCGAAGGCTTTCATGGCTGGAATCAATAGGTTCTTGTAGATTTTTTTGGGCTATAGGGTCATGGCCCTATAGCCCAAAAAAACCTACAAGAACCTTTCATTGGATTTTCTTATCAAGATTTATTCAGATGGGGCTGAGAAAGAGTAACGTGCCCAAGATCCCCTAGTAGTCTTTCATAATTGGTCTGCAAAGTCATAGTCCAGTGCGTAAACAACCATACAATGCTGGGGCTCTGATGGCTTTGCCATACAGCAAGAAAGTATATTAATATGAACCTTAATGTTTCATGAATCTTAATGTGCCCTTCCATTTAAATAATTGAGAAGGTTGTTTCTACTGGAAATTTGGTGGTCAGACTGTGTGCAGGCACCCCCCCCCCCCCAAATATTTTGGGCTTTCCAAATCAGTGCAGTGCCCTTGCCCAATTTCAATTAGCTTCATTTTGGCTATTGGAAGGTTTTCTATCCACTTTTAGTGGTAAGCTGCTCTTTATCACCTTTCAATAGGGCAGTGATTCTCAACCTATGGGTCCCCAGGTGTTTTGCCCTACAACTCCCAGAAATCCCAGCCAGTTTATCAGCAACCACTGCAATAGAGGGATGTCAGGCATTTTCTTTCTAAAAATGCCTGGCTTGCTTTCAGGGAACCTAGAAGCAAGCATTTCATTTTATACTAAAATAGAGTGGATAGCCTTAACTTTCTTTGCTGGGAGCAGAAGAAAACCTGCTGCTTTTCATCCCCTCTTTCTCTGAGCAAAGGAAGCATGGTTATTACCTCTTAAAAAACTGCCTGCCTGCCTTTCTTCCAGTGATCCTGGAAGCCATTTGCCCAGACAGTATACCCAAGTGTCTTTGCTTTACAAGCAAAGTGTTTTTGAAAATTGGCACATGTGCTTCTCTCCCCCCCCCCCCCCCCCCCCCCCCCCAGTCAGTTATGGCATTTTGTCTTTTGTGTGGGAGATGGGCTGGAGTATTTGTGGTCAGGATATTGAATGTATTATACAGAATTGGTATACGTTAAGATAGTTTGCTTCCTTGGGTAAAAAAAAAAATGGAAAGGCTGTTATCAATTACATGCTTCTATCAGTTGTCTGTAGATCGGTAGAGTAGAAAACTGTTGTGGTAAACTGGTTCTTCAGATTAATGCAAAAGTCTTTTTATCTTCCTTTTGAGAAAAAAAAACATTTTGAGAATTCAAATATTTTCATTCTAGTAATTGTTGAGTCCCAGAAAGGAATGCCCCCTGTGAACGAAGATACTGTGCTTTTCAGAGGTGACCGACATTCAATAGGAAAGGTGAGCAAAATCATCTGGCTATAATTAAGGCTTCTTTCTTTCTGCTCTAGACACAATAGTTTTCTACATACTTTTGCTTATTATTTGCTACATTAATTGGAGAGGGGAGGCAAACATAATTTAAGATGTAGAAATGTGAGTTTCATGAAGCCTTTGTCCCTATTATATGGGGAAAAAATCTTTGGGCAACAAAAAAATGCAAAAGATCAAAACAGATTAAAGAACAAACTGCAAGATTAATACAAGTTACTAGAGAAAAATTCTTACTTGGCGACAGAAGGTTAAACTTTAGATTAGTCCTGTTTAGGGTAAACTCACACCCGTTGCACTACTGGCAATTGGTCTTGTCGAATATTGTTTTGATTGAGTTTAACCTTGCTGTTTTATTATGATTTATTGAATTATACTTTTATCTAGATGGTTATATTTAAGTATGTTTTTATTTTAATTGTGTTTTTACTTTGATAGATAGTTTTGTATTTGTGTCTGGGCATTTTGTCCTATCTGCAAGTAGCCCCAAGTCCTTTCGGGGAGATGGTGGCAGAGAATAAGAATAAAGTTGTTGTTGTTGTTATTGTTATTTGATACACAACAAGATTAGTACACCGCCAACAAGATCACTATTCTGGCTGTTGTATTGGATCACACATTGGACATTTCCCAAGTGTCTAGGACTATGTGATGTATCGGCGAATGATTTCATGCAGATCCAAGTTGGGTGGCCTTCTGCAACTGACAGGTGATAATTTTATCAGTGCCGATTCTTCTTCTTCTTCTTCGTCGTCTTCTGCTTCTTCGAAATCAATTTGATTTAAAGTCCTTGCAGTTTATAAATCTGTTCTGGGTAGGACTGATATTTGATTTAGCCTACAGAGAACAAGGTTATAGTTCATATGGACATTTTAGGTTGTAGATGTTTCATCATTTGTTGCTGTTGTTAATAGTATTAACAGCCCTAATAGATCCCATGACTGTTATGTTGTTTTCTAGGTTGCAGATGACATTATTTAAGTCCTGTGCTGAATAATCTTTTTAAAAATCAGTTTTAAGTCCTCTTAATCATTTAAAACTTAAGCAGTAGGCCATTGCTTTTATTTTAAAATAGTACATTTTAGTTTTGATGTTGACATTCATGACTGGTGGGCCATATATTCTGTGTAGCTTGCCATTCAGTAAATTTTATACTAGAGCTTTTTACAGGAGAGCTAGCTAGCTCATACTTCAGGGGCTAAGTATTAGACTTCCTTATTGGTGTTTAGTTTTGCTTATTTACTAAGCTCTAAATCTCTGTCAGTAAAGTATTTTGAGAAATACAGAGGAGACCTGCTTTCACTTTATTTTCACAAAATGATGAGGAAGAAGGCTTTAGTTCTAGGCAGCTTAGTAGTTCCTTTATTCTAAAGTTCAGTCTGGTCTTTGAAACTGAGTGGTGTGTAAATGTTCTTTCTGACAGCAGGATATAAATCCTTACCTAAATGAATAAAAAATCTTCACTGCTGAATACTCCTTAAGGAATTTCTTGCCAGTGAATGCAAGACCTGTAAAATTTCAGCTGGGTATAATACAGAATCCTGACTACAGAATACAGAGAATACCGAATGATAGCTGTGTGCTAGTGTAATTCAAATCTCACCCTTCAAAATTGCAGGCATGTGGCGATCGAGTTTTTTGTATCCCAGAAATGGTCCGGGATCACATATGTATTCATGTAGTAGGTGGATTTGGAATCCTTTGTTTTTAACACATCAATACTATGATAGAAGACTTGGATAGGAAAGATCTAGATGAATATGTGACACAACCTAAGGACCTAATCACACTAGAGAATGAATCCACTTTAAATCTGGTTTGCTGCCTCCTGCAGAATTCTGGGGTTTGTAGTTTAGTGAGGCTGTTAAAGGCTCCTCCCTAAACTACAAACTCTAGAATTCTGCAGGAGGCAGCAACTGGATTTAAAGTGGATTCATTCTCTAGTGTGATGAAGTAGTAAGATATATAATCACATTGTTTTATATTTACAGGCATTTGATTCTGTCTCATTTTGGAAACTTAACGTGGCCAGGCCTGGTTAGTACTGAGATGGGAGGCTGCCAAGGTGTTGTAAACTATATTTCAGAGGAAGAAACTGGCAAAATCAGTTCTGCATGCTGACTTGAAAAAGATACCTTTACAAGCAGAGTTCATTTAGTTATGTGTGCTGATACACACATAACTAAATGAACTCTGCTTGTAAAGGTATCTTTTTAATTTTTTTAAACTTATTTTTTGTTAGCATTATTTTCTTATTTAAGGTTGAAAAAAGATTGTATCTCTTAAAATCCTTCCTGAAGTAATCCCAGTAATACTAAATTCAAAGCTATTTTTCAAAGCTTGAAGGACACATTTTATTGCTTTTTATGTTTGGTTCCTCTGTTGACCTGTTTGCCTTCCCAGTGTAATGTTATTTGTTTCTGTGTGGCCTGTAGTTATTGATCTTGTTCTGTTTCTTAAATCTATAACATTTATTGTCTTGCAGATCTTTGAGGTATTTGGCCCTGTGTCTCATCCATTTTATGTACTACAGTTTAACAATCCTGAGCATATTGAAGCTAAAGGTATCAAAATACATGATGCTGTGTATTTTGCTCCATCGGTTGAGAGCGTCACCCAGTATATATTTCCAGAAAAACTAAAGCAGTAAGTCTATACTGTTGCTTAGAAATCTATCTTTCAAATGCAGTCTGATGTCAAAACTATCGGTTAGTGTTCTTATACTCTCATATATAAGCAGAAGTTTCCATTTGGACAACAAACTATCCTTGGAGTTTCTTGATTTGTTTTGCTTTAAATTTCTTCATCTTAGTTGTGATTTTGGTATGGAGTAATAGTTTTTCATGTTCTCTGTGTCTCACACATTTAGGCCTTGTGCATTCTCTTAACATAACTTGTATACTCTACCTTATATTGAAATGATTTCAGTAAGAAGTTTATATTTTAAATCCTTCCTAACACAATTTAAAATAAAAATATCTAACCCAGTCTGTAAAATAAAAAAATACGTCATTTCACAAATTACTTGGAAATTAGGTTCTTGTGGGGTTTTTCGGGCTATAGAGCCATGTTCTAGAGGCATTTCTCCTGACGTTTCGCCTGCATCTATGGCAAGCATCCTCAGAGGCAAGCATCCTCACTACCTCTGAGGATGCTTGCCATAGATGCAGGCGAAACGTCAGGAGAAATGCCTCTAGAACATGGCTCTATAGCCCGAAAAAACCCACAAGAACCTAGTGATTCCAGCCATGAAAGCCTTCGACAATACTTGGAAATTGCAAAGCATTTTCTGAGAACACCTGGTCTATCTTCCCTTGTGCTTTTCGATATACTCTTCCTTAGTTTGCACAACATCTATAAAGTTTAACACAGATCCAACTATTCAGATATGCTGTGTCACACGCAGAACCAGTGTTGTTTAGCATTCATGTAATGCATTCTAAGCGTTCAAATATTTATCATACACTATTACACCAGTCCTGTAAGGTTTATCAGTATTTTTTCACTATTGAATATAGGGATCCTAGGTTGAAAGAACAGTGATTTGTCTAGTTCAGTGGTTCTCAACCTTCCTAATGCTGTGACCCCTAATTACAGTTCCTCATGTTGTGGTGACCCCTAACCATAACATTATTTTCATTGCTACTTCATAACTGTAATTTTGCTGTTGTTATTAATCGTAATGTAAATATCTGATATGCAGGATGTATTTTGATTCACTGGACCAAATTTGGCAGAAATACCTGATATACCCAATTATTGGTGGGGTTGGGAGGATTTATTTTGTCATTTGGGAGTTGTAATTGCTGGGATTTGTAATTCAGTTACAGTCAAAGAGAATTCTGAACCCCACCAATGATAGAATTGGGCCAAACTTCCCACACAGAACCCGCATTACCAACAGAAAATACTGAAGGGATTGGGAGGAATTTACAGTGATTTAGGGGAGAGCACACCTGCTCTCCCCCTCCCCACTTGGAGTCTCAGAAACAGCCCTCCCCTTGGCTGAGAGGCTGGCCAATCACAGCAGGAGGAGGGCTTTTGGTGGGAGGATTTGCTGTCAGTTTCCAAAAAGGAAGAGAAGGATAGGTGGAGAATTCTTCAGCCTTCTCCGCCAAAGGGGTTCCTAAGACTATCAGAAATATGTATTTTCTGATGGTCTTTGGTGACCCCTCTGAAACCCTCCTTGTGACCTCCAGGTTGAGAAACACTGGTCTAGTTCCTCTTGGTACGTTTCAAGTCAAGATAAGATTTGAACATTTGACATCTAGATCTTGCTACTGGCAATTGTGGACAACATTTTAATTTTCTCTTAACATTGGGGTAACCTCTCTTGCAGAAGAAATACTTGAAAACTGCTAGCTGTTTTCCATGGTTTTTCTTCACCTATGACAGTGGGAATTATTAAGAAAAAATCAAACAGTCAACTGTGTTACTAGAAATTTGGCAAGCTCTTGGGTTTCTGTTCCCATAATGCTTAGACTTTGACTACTGTTTGAGCTTTATCAAACTTTTGGAGGCTACTAAATGGGCAACAATAACTTACGTGTAGCTTAATACCCAACCTTTGGTGATTTTCTATTTGTTGTACCTTTTTAGAGAGAAAGGATCTGATGCATCATGGAAGAATGATGAAGAGCCACCTCCTGAAGTAAGTAACATTTGTTATGTGATGAATTTATTCTTTAGTGTATATAAGTAGTTCCACTTTAACCTGCATTTGAATTATGTTTGAGTGGTTCTGCATGTCAAGAAAAGCCACTTAATATGCTTTGAGTTACATTTTAATGTCAGAAAATGAAGTACCTCCCCTAGAGAAACTTGATATGTTATTATCTGAATGATAATTTGCAGCTAACCTCTTCATTTATGTAAACTGGTCTGCATAGATAGTGTCTACAGCTCCTTCTACACTGCCATATAAAATCCAAGTTATCTGCTTTGAACTGAATTATATGGCAGTTTAGAAGGGGCCTACATCTTTGGTTCTTTTCAAGGAATAGTTTCTTTTTAGATTTCATGTTTCAGGGCTGTTTTGAATGCTGATTTTTGAAAGTATAGTTTATCAGTTTCTGCAAGGTTTTAAAGTTGACTTGTGTATGGCAGGGAATTGTATGGCAGGGAATTGTACCTCACCATTTCCACTGGAAATTTGGAGGCCCACAGACTGCATGCAGCTACAAAATTCTCTATTTATGGATTCCCAATGCTTCCCCATTCCCCCTCTTCATCTCAATCACCCTTACTCTGGCCACTGAAGGTTGCCACCAAATTTGGTGGCAAGCTGCTCTTTGTGCTGCAGAATGCAAGACATACAGAATGCAGACCCAACAATTATGTATCACATTCTTCAAGTATGAAAATGACAAATTCTTCCTTTTTTAAAAATGCCTAGCTTGCTACCAGGACACCCAGGAGCAGTCATTTCCTCCTGTTAAAAGATAGTTTGTAGCCAAACTTTATTTCCTGGGAGCAGAAGAAAAGCTGCACCTTGAATCTCTTCCTCTTCCATAGTTGATACCTCTTTAAAATGCCTCCTTCTTTTCAGGAGTCCTGGGAATAGTTTACGCAGTTATTATTCCCAAGTCCCTTAGAAAACCGTTCCCCATTCATATGCTTCTGCAAAGGTGTTTAAAGTGACTTGTAGGTCTTCCCCTTCTTTCTCAATGTCAGTCATGGCATTTGGGCAACGGGGGACGGGTGTGGCCTGCCCACTGCTGAAATAAATTAGGGAAATATACATGATCAGTATGAGAGATTCATTTTCTATAGGGCCTCCATTCCTTCAGTATGAGGTTGGATTTCACCAATATTCCAAAATGTCACTGACATAATTTGAACTTCCATGAATGCTTGTTTGTCTGCTCTGATAGCTGGTAAAATGTAAATATTGCTATTTGTATCAGCTCCTGGTTTTTTTTTTTAACTTTAAGTGTTCTCCTACAGGTTTTAGACTTTAGTGATGATGAAAAAGAGAGAACTGCAAAGCAACAGAAGAAATCTCAGAATTTAAGAAGAAAGAAATTCAAATCACAACAAGATTATGGTAAGTAGCTTGTAACGACAAAAGGTGGTCCCAGAGACCAGGGGAATTTCCACAAAAAACAGCAATTGTACCTTGGGATTATTGTATTAAAGGAATATCAGTTTACATTAAGTACAATAAATTAATATTTATGCTGCAATTGGTATTTGTAGATGCCATAGGTTCTTTCTTCCAGAATTCTAAACAATTCTCAAATACAACGTTTCATTCCACACTTCCCATTGATATAGCATCACTGATTAATACTTGACTGACCACATATTATTTTCCCTGTATCAATAAGTTAAAGGGAAAACATAGAATGAGATTGAGAAGATGGCCTGTCCAGTCAGTCCACAGATTACGAGCAAGATAAGTTCTGTAGGTTTGTTCTTAAGTTGAATTTGTATATAAGCACGTTTTTAAAGTTTAACTCCAGTCAAATATATACATATATTTAGCTTTGGATAGCATAAGGAAGAGTTAACAGCCTTGTGGTGTTTGTCTGTGCCCCTATTCAGAGGATTTCATCTCACTTTCTTCTCTGTGACAATTGAATTCTGAAAAAATTGGGTTGTTATAGAGACAAGGATTGCTGATAAAGCTTCAGTGCAGACAACTTTTCTCCATGGTAACTCTTACAGGTGTGACTTTCCCTTCATAGGGGTAGATTTCTCTCACTTCCTGTTGTCTGACTCCCGTTTGTAACTAGGAGTCGTGTGCAAGTTGGATGCATGTAACTCAGGGACTGGCTGTTCTGTCAAGGTTGAATGTATTGGAGCTCCAATTTATTATATCCTTCTAAAATTAGCCTCGTCATTGTAAGTAGTGCACTTGTTTTCACACAATGCAGTACAACCAATCTGTTCTTTCCCCACTTGTTCAATAGATAAGAGTGGAATGGATTACCAGCCCAGACAACACTATCATTCAGATTATTCAGACAGGAGAGAACCTCATTCCACCTTTACAAGAGGACGATACCCACATCCTTCTGCATCTCCGCGCTTTTTTAGACATCAGGGGAGGACTCCACAACAACATCCTTCTAGCTATGCTGAACCATGGAAACCTTCAGCGTTTCATCAGCAGCAGAGGCCAGATAATTCAAGAAGACATCAGTATTCCTTTCCTCCCCCTTCATTTGAACCAGAGGCAAATTTTGCACCCTCACCTCAACCTGCAACATGGGGATGGCCTCCGGGATATACTCAGAATACATATGATCCTTTGTTGTCACTACTCTCTTTGCCCCCACCACCTCCACCCCCACTACCTCCTCCATCAGCTCCTTTCAACAGTATGAATCCTCCTTAAGCTGAGCTACCCTTTAATCTTTTCAATAGTCTTGAAAATGTCAGATTTCCTTCTTAAATGCTGTATATGTTTTATTTTCTGGAGTCTTTTCTTGGGGGGGGGGGGGTGGATGGAGGAAGGATATTTTATGTTGTGTACAGAAATGTAAACCTTAAATCAAGTAATTTTATAATAAAGTTAAAATCTTATTTTGAGAACAGGAAATAATTGAAATATGGCAATATTTCTTTAGTGAAATTTTGTAATCCAAATTCTTGGTATGTATTATTTTTTAATAAACCTCTACCTTATTTCTACACTGGCAGATTTACATTAATATACAGAAGTCTTTTGCATAAATAATGTTTTATGATAACTAAAACCAAACCTAGTATCTATAACAAGAGTCGGTGCAGAATTTTGAAATTCCAGATTGTATATTCAGGGTATTATTTTGTAATTCACTTAAGTAAAGAAATGCCATTTCATAAAATTCCATGCAGTTTCAAACCTATCCAATTCAGGGAGTGTATAGTTATTTCTCCAGTTTTAAGTTTGTGGACTTAACTGAGCTTTCTTTAGCCTCTAAACAATGGTGTATAATTGCAAAGATAGCCCATTTAACTTTAGGATTTAGGTTATTTTCTGAGTAGTTGGTGTAGGAAGCCATAGTATGAATAAGTCGCTTGGCTTTATCTATGTTGCAGTTACACACACACACACACACACACAAAATACATTCAAAAACACTCTTCCACTATTTATAATCTAGACTTTTCCCCCTGGGAGATTCTGCCTTTGCATTTTCAGGCCTGGTGGAAAATGAGGCTCTGGGTCACTGGAACTCCCTCGTCTCTTTTTAATGATAATTTTATTCCAATTTGGTTCTCAATTCTTTAGGGCTACTTCCAATTCTCTTCTTGCCTCTGATGGGTTTTTTCCCCTTGTGATTACATTCCTCTTTTGCTTTAACTTTAAACATTCCAGGACTCAGACTTAAGAATTGTTCTTCAACCAGCCTATTTGATTTGGACAGTATTCAACATTTTGAATTCTTTGAAAAGTATTCTATGGAGCAATATCCAAAATTTCAATGGTAGTCTGAAATGTTTTAAAAATGTATTCTGTAAGTGCATTTGGGTAGAGAACAATAATCAAAGCTTTAAATATATTGAAAAATTCGGAATATACATGGCAAACATTTCTGTAGAATGCACTCAATGGGTGCATCTGCGCCATAGAATTAATTGAGTTTACCAGCACTATAACTGCCCATGACTCATTGCTATGGAATCTGGGGATTTGTAGTTTGGTGAGGCATCAGTTGGCAGAGAAGCCTAAAAAGCCTTGTACAATTACAATTCCTAGGAATCTATAGCATTTAGCCATTGCAGTTAAAGTAGTGTCAAAGTACAATAATTCTAAAGTGTAGATACACTGTAGAATTATAAAGCTGTTGTTCTCCCAACCTTGTTATATGCCTGCAAAACGTGGGATGTCTACAAACATCACACTCAATTCCTGGGACAATTTCATCAGCGTTGCCTCTGAAAAATCCTGCAAATCTCTTGGAAAGACGGGTAGACAAATATCAGCATACTAGAAGAAGCAAAGACCACCAGCATTGAAGTGATACTCCTACGCCATCAACTCCGCTGGACTGGCTACATTGTCCAAATAGCTGATCAATGTCTCCTAAAGCAGTTACTATTCTCCCAACTCGAGAACAGAAAACTGAATGTTGGTTGACAGGAAAAGAGATTTAAAGATGGGCTCAAAGCCAACCTTAAAAACTGGCATAGACACCGAGAACTGGGAAGCCCTGGCCCTTGAGCGTTCTAACTGGAGGTCAGCTGTGACCAGCAGTGCTGCGGGATCCGAAGAGACACAAATGGAGGGCAAAAGGGAGAAATGTGTCAAGAGGAAGGCATGGCAAACCAACTATTACCAAGACCGCCTTCCACTTGGAAACTGATGCCCTCACCGTGGAAGAACATGCAGATCAAGAATAGGGCTCAACACTCACATACGGACCCACTGCCAAGACACTACACTTTGGAAGGCCATCATACACTGACAACGAGGGATCACCTAAGTAATACCATAATACTCCATAATACCTTTCACATCTAATTTAAGGCAAATGTCTTCCTTTCTGGTTGTGGTGTACTCTTACAAAATAGAAATTATATTTGGCAAGAACAGAGAAAATCGATCTGAATCTGAAATGGGGGAAACACAGCAAGACATTTCAGCTATAGCGGACAAATGAGCTAGTCTGAATTAGTGGCTTTCAAGAGATTTGGAAAGAGCACACTTGTCATTTGCTGCTATTGTGCTGTTTAGCAATTTGTTGGACCAGGAATATCCAGAAATCTCAGGGTTTTTAGCAAAAAAGATTTGCATTCGAAGCCAGGGACAGTTTCTATTGGACTGAATGATCAGCGATTCAGACAATTATTTGAGGAGTAATTAAACAAGCTAAGGTTAACCAAACTTCTACTCTTATATTTTAATGCTTTGTTACAGTTTATGATTTTTTTTAAAAAAATCTTTGTTACAGCTTATGCTGAAAAAAATTAACAAGAGCACCAAATGAGAACAAGAAACACAAAGAAGCTTTTAAAAATCTCACAAACAATAGGTACTCTTGAAAAGTATTGCAAATGAGTTATTCATTTTCATATTTCCATCAAGAGATCAGAGCAGTCTTTTGAATAAAGTGATGTTTTCTTTTTAGTCGGAAATATAGGGTTATGCAAACAAGATGCTACTCTTTTTTAAAGGAATTTATTTGTTCCAGCTGCAAGCGTTCCTTAAAGATAAAGATAGACTTAATTAGAGTTGACTGTCACAAGGGCATTTTAAAAATGTATTTTTGGTAGATTTGGATATGAGGTGTTGTTTTGCAACTTCTGTTCTGGCGATATAGTCACGTCACTTTTAATCAAGCTCCTGTAATTAGCTGGAAAATTTTTTTGCTAAATGTTTAGCAGTGCAGCTTAGAAGCAGGAACCTCTTGTCTTGAGGCTCCGTCTTTGGAGGCTTTTAAACAGAAGCTGGATGGCCATCTGTTGGGGGTGCTTTGAATTCCATTTTCCTGCTTCTTGGCAGGGGGTGGACTGGAGGGCCCACAAGGTCTCTTCCAACTCTATGATTCTATGATCAACTCAGTCTGCAAAGGTCTCTGAGAAGCATCTCACTGCCCTTCTCACCCCACAGGGGACTCAAGGCGGATTACAATGCACATATACTTGGCAAACATTTAATGCCATTTAGATTTACAACATATATAAACAGACAGAGACAATTTAACATTCCAGCTTTTCCAGCTTCATGAAGGTATGAGCGACTCCAGCCACAGGGGGAGCTGCCACTTCACCGTCCACTTGTGACACCGAGTCCTTTGATGGAGTACTTCCTCATTCTTCTGCATGTTGCTGGAAGGTTTTATGGCATCATAAATTAGTTAAATTAGCCTCCCTGCATAAAGAGGTACCTATATTTCCTACTTGATAGATGCAACTGTCTTTCGGGCTGCATAGGTTATATAACCTAGAAAATCAAGGCAGATAATCCACAATATCTGCTTTGAACTGGGTTATTGGTCCACGCCGTTATATAATCCAGTTCAATGTGAATTTTATATAGCAGTGGGAAAGGGCCCAAGTTCAACTAGAAACTACCCTATATGCATAAGTTCAGAAGTTTTAATGAACAAAAAACAACCTCCAAACTTTGGTTGACTTTATCTAGGGACCTCATTGCACTAGAGAATGAATCCACTTGCAGCCTCCTGCTGAATTCTGGGGTTTGTACTTTTGGGAGGAGCCCTTAACAGCTTTACTAAACTACAAACCTCAGAATTCTGCAGGAGGCAGAAACCAGATTTGAAGTGGATTCATTCTCTTGTGTAATGAAGTAGTATAAGAAACACTTACCATCTCTGATCTCTCCACCGTAGGGCCACTTAATGGCCTTTTGGAATGTCTGGGCAGGGAAATGCCAGATACAGAATGACTCTCGACTTATCTATGGGCCATACCAAAATCCATAGTTTTGACCCCAAAACCTGCCCTTGGCTTATAAATGACATCTACTTGTATATGGTATATGGTCTTTTCTCACAGATGAGAGGTCCTGAGGATTCACTTCCAGATTTGACCTTCTCCCTTTCCCCCATGTGGACAAGAGAGTTGAGATGGTTGAGATGAAGCTAACAAAATGAATTTCAACAAGGACAAATGTAAGATACTACACTTAGACAGAAAAAAAATGAAATGCAAAGATACAGGTTGGGTGATGCATGGCTTGGCAACAGTCCATGTGACAAAGATCTTGGAGTCTTTGTGGATGACAAGTTGAACATGAGCCGACAATGTGATGCAGCAGCTAAAAAGCCAATGGGGTTTTGGGTTGCATCAAAAGGAGTACAGTGTCTAGATCAAGGAAAGTCATGGTGCCTTTGTATTCTGCTTTGGTTAGACCTCACCTGGAATTCTGTGTCCAATTCTGGGCACCAAGGCAACTAAAATAATCAAAGGAGACCATGTCCTATGACAGTGGTTCTCAACCTGTGAGTCCCCAGATGATTTGGCCTTCAACTCCCAAAATTCCCAGTCAGTTTACCAGCTGTTAGGATTTCTGGGAGTTGAAGGCCAAATCATCTGGGGACTCACACGTTGAGAACCACTTCTGTATGAGATCGTCTTAAAGGACTGCGTATTGTTAGCCTGAAGAAGAGACGGTTGAGAGGAGACATGATAGCCATGTATAAATGTGAAAGGAAGAGAGTTTTCTGCTGCACTTGAAACTAGGAACAATGGGTTCAAATTACAGGAAAGGAGATTTCACCTGAACATTAGGACGAACTTCCTGACCATATGAGCTGTTCAACAGTGGAACTCCCTGCCTTGGAGTGTGGTGGAAGCTCCTTCCTTGGAAACTTTTAAACAGAGGCTGGATGGCCATTTGTCAGGAATATTTGATTGTGCTTTTCCTGAATGGCAGGAAACTTTTAAACAGAGGCTAGATGGCCATCTGTCAGGGATATTTGATTGTGSTTTTCCTGTATGGCAGGGAGTTGGACTAAATAGCCCATGTGGTCTCTTCCAACTCTATTATTCTATGATTCTATGAGATTGCGGTGCCAGTGGTATTCCCAGGTGGTATTTGCAAGCATCCCCCCCCCCCCCTTCTCCACATCTAGAAGAGCTGGAAATGGGCAGCTGGATCTTTGGCTAATATGTTGAATAAGAAAAAAAAACTGCACCCAACACTTTATCTAGAAACCCAATGATATTAGAGAATATGTGCA